ATATTCTTAGTTTTTCTTTTCTTGATATATGTTAAATATTTTATTGAAGAACTTCGGATTTAATTCGATTTTTTTTATGTTTATAAATTTGAACAACAATAATTGCTAAACAACGAGTTATAAGAACTAATCCACCATTAAGAGAAATGAGAGATATTATTGTTTGAGTTACATCATGAGTTTTAATATAAGAATATGAACATGATAATGGTGAACATCGATTAAAATAATTTTCATATGATAAATTACTTTTATACTTTTCAATCATTAAATTATTTAAAATTAATCCAATTGTTGAATTTAAATTATATTGACTTTTTGCCAACGTTGACATATTTAATCTTGTAAAATTTCCATTTAAATCAATACAATTTTGATCATAAAAACAGTAAAGTTTTGTTTGAAGAATAGATTCAAGTGGATAACAACCACTCATCATACCTCCTGATGATTGAGTACATTTAAATGATAATCCACAATTACATTCACCATAACTTAGAGGTGCTGTACGTGCAAGTAAATAAGCAGAAAATTCACTTTGAGGAACATATTCCCAATTAGTGACCCATGCACTCATAATCATATTCGAACCAATTATTTCACGAATTAAATTAAAAAGATTAATAAATGATTTGGATGCAGTTAATTGAAGTCGATTTAGAATTATTTCAATTTCTTCGATTAAAAGATTTTCAGATAAAAGCTGAGAATTCATAAAATAACTTGTCAGAAATTGCGTAAGGGTACGATTTACTTTTTCTTGACTAAGTTTACAAAGTGAAGAAAGTGAAAGGAATTGTCCAGGAGCTGAATAACGATAATCATCGAATGAAAATCGACGAGAAAGATGACCTTCGCCATAAATATAATGAATCCATTCATCAGAGATAAATTGACTTGAACATAAATCATGAAAATGAGGTTCAATATTAAGAAATGTTTCATATTGAATAGATATTTGTGAACAAGAACATTGAAGAGAATAAGAATGATCTTTTAATAAATCTTTATATTTTGAAAGTGATGGTTTTATTATTTGAACAGTAACTAATTTTGGTTTAAAAGCAGAAAATAGAAATATGAAATATAATATTAATAAAAGAAAAATGAAATGAAGTCGATTAATAATACGCTGTTCAGTATTACAAATAAATAAGTTTTTTATCATTGTTATAAATCCATTAAAAGAATTATTATTAATTGTCTTCTCAATAAATCGAAGAATAATTAAAGTAAGTAGTTTTAATCCAAGAGATAAACCACCACAAATACCAAGAATTGTTGTTATAACAAAGAATAAATCATTTCGACTAATATATTGATATGTACATGATGATGGAGAACATGTATTATAATATGAAGAAAATGAAATATTCGATGTCCAAGAATCAATCATAAGTCTATTGATAATTGATTCCATTGTTTCATTCGGTGGATTAAGATTTTCATTTAAATTTGAAAAATTAAAAGATGATCCAAGAGGAAAAAAAATATATTGATCGAATTCAATCATACATGATAGATTATAAAAACATTCTAAAGTTGATTTCATTAATCCTTCGATTTGGGAACAACCCAGAAAAAAATTTGGGATTTTTATAAATAGTTGGGGAAGCTCCAAATAATATACATCGTCACCGTACAGACCGATAGAGATAAGGCATGAAGATAAAGCACATGAACAATTCAAATATTCCACTACTTCAGGATTCACTTTTGTATCATTCGAGTGTATATAAGGAAAATAATAATGAGACAGCTCACTAGCAAGTTGATTTCCATGTGATACAGCTTGAAATATTTTTATTGTTTCTAAAAATTGATCAATAGTTTGAGATTTCCAATCATTAATAGATGAATTAATTTTAGCTTCAAATTGATTTTGAGAAGTAACTTGGGAAGAAAGAAATTGTGTTTGAAGAAATGTTTTGATACTAATATTAACTGTTTGTTGAGCGTGTTGACATAACAATGACAATAACTGAAAATGGAATACACCAGAATTTTGATAGTCAAATACTGAAAAATAATCGTTCATCACGTCGTCACCCTTGATATAATTAATCCATGCATCTGATATTAAATCACTTGAACATACTTGGTGAAAGTAAGGTTCAATCATAATAAGAGTTGAATAACTCATTGAAACTGTTGAACATGGACAATAAAGATTTGAAGAATAAATTTTTTCAAGTTCTTTATATTGAAATTCTGATGGTTGAGAAATTATTTTTTGTTGAAGATCTTCATTTAATAATAAATAAAAACTAATTACAATAAGCGGAATGAGAAGAACTAATAAGTACAATCGAGTTGCAATTCTTTGATAATTAATTTGATGTTGATTACTTCCATTAGCTTTAAACATATTTAGTCCAATTAAATTGTTTTTCAAAAGTCTTTTTATCTTTGTTGTTACTAAACACAAAATAGAGAAAAAAAAATTATTTTAAATTTTAATCAAGAAAAACAAATAAAAACTTTTGTCGTCTCAGAATAATTTCAATAGTAAATCAAGTCAATCAATATAATCAACAAGACAAATATGTCGGTGTACCAATTTTAAAAGAAGTCATTGCTCTACTAAAAAAACTTTATTTTCTTCCTCAAAAAGTGTCAGATAAAATCGAGATTTTTCATTGTAGAATGTATTTCTCAATTTTCAGAAGTTTCTTGCATCATAAAAAGTCAAATAAATAAAACCGATTTTATTGAGATAAAACGTACACATGTCTCGTAGTCTTCATTAACTGAGAACCTGCTTATATATAGGTCTTCTATTTTCTTACTTCTTCTATTTAGTCTGATGGTGTATTGATCATACGTTATAATGAATAGTTATTTTCTGTTTAAGATCATATTCACAACAGTTTCATCCAATATACACAGAACTTTTTTTTTCGCTGGACACCTCCGTTAGTCTATTGTGCTATCCTCTCTACTATACAAAGTTTTAAGAAGAGAATTAATCGTGCCAGATATGGACGAGGATGTCAAGGAGTCATAACGTCATCGTTTGATTCTGCCTCACCTCATTCAAAGTCTTTTTTTCAGACTATTTATTCATAAAACTTTAAATAGCTTTCGATTATGTATTTTGCATTTCCTGAGATGAAGAGGTACAGTTCAAATACAGCTTCAACTATAAATAATAACAAGGTTATAGGAAATTTAAATATTTTGCCTTCAATCCATTCAGATGAGCTCATTTGTTTGGGACTAGAACTCTCCTCATTTTTTCTTCATTCGGATAACGCAAATAAATACAATTTTTACGTATTTCGATTGACCTAATAAAAACAATATGACTACTAGTAGTTGCCAAGTAAGAAAAATACATTTAAAATACTGTGCAGACAATTTTGAGTTGTCATTTGACAGAATGACTTGAAAAACTTTTAAAAAGTTTGCTGAATAATATCATACTGATGTACATATAGAAAACATTTTGAACTAGCTTATTAGAATGTGCCGATAGACACAGCGCTCTTACATTACATCTCACTGACATAATATCCTTTATATGGAGAAATCCTCATCCTTATTATATTGGTGTTCTATCCCTTCTGTTTCTTTTTTTTTGTTCTTCTATATAACGTAATGTTCTATGTAAAATCAACACAACCGAGTGATGGAGTAGTGAAGTAAACATCATACACCGAAGATAGCGGTAATGCTACTCCACCAGTTTGTCATTGTGATTACAATAAAATAAATGATGCTGCAGTAATAAAATATCTTCATCTTTTTAAAATTTGATCCAGGAATAAACTCCTTTCCATAATAGAAGCCTCCAGGAGCTTCTAAACTGCCCATTATTCGAAGTTGTTGAAGAGGGCTTTCATTATAGGATGGAACTATTAATATGACTGTCGTAGAGAGATTTCGAAAACTCTATAATGAAGTCATTATTTCCATCATCTTGACTAATTATTTGTAATAAATTCAAATAATCTTACAACATTCTGTGAAATTTAATATAAATATACAGGGTGTGTAAAAATGTTTTTTTTTCAGAGTTGGAAAGTTTAACACTGATTACAAATAGCATTCAGAAAGAATGTTATATCAGATTACAACACGTTAAAAATGGGATCTATCTATACTAAATAGTAAGAGTTATCGAATGTTTTTTGACATCGAACTTAAAGCATTTTTGAAAACTTTATACCTTTTTTCCGAAAAAAAAGTTAAGATAACTGGAGATTCACAATGGAATAAAATATTTTCTAGGATATCTTTACATGGTTTAATAGAGCTCGTCGATCTCTACAAAATTTTATATATTTTTAGAAAGAATGAATCATTTCTATGAGACCAAAGAAAAGCATTCGATTTTTCAATAAAATTAGTTTTTTTTTCATTATACTTTTAAACCATAGTGTGCCGCTATACACGTCACGGCTCGGTGCTCTTCCTCTTTCCTTTTTGGGTGTGGATCTTCTCTTCAACAAAACCCACACCCTCTACAAGTCTTGAATTTTTCACTTAGGTTTCATAGGCAGAGTTAATATTTCTGTTTATACGATAATTCAATCTCAAATCTGGTCTGTAATGTAATATTAATAAAATAAATTGACAGGTTTATCTCAGATTGAACTGTTTTAGTCGTGCTTTCTAGGAAATGAGATGAAATTTGACGAAAAAAAAATTAAAATTTTTAGAGAAATTAGAGAGAATGAAACTGCCGTTCTTGAAAAAATATAATTATTTGAATTAAAGAATTTCAACTTGTTCTAGACATATTTTATTATGAAAAAATTATAAATCTAGAAAACTATAAAAATTCATTTTTGACTTAGCCATGACGGGAACCGGAGTTTGTTTATAAATTTCTTTAAACCAGTAAAAACCGGCGAAGACTGACCAGTCCAATAATCAATTCAACCGGTCCAGTCCCAACTCTGTGTACAATTGCTTTCGTTTAGAAACTTTACCTCGCTCTACTCATGTTTATAGGAAGAAATTTTAATGAATTGAAAGTAGTTAGCATATTCTATTTAATAAATCAAACAAGTAAACTTACAAGATATTGATTCTATATTTTGAGATGGTCGTCGTCGAATGAATTTCACTATATTTTCTATAATAAAACTACATAATGTTGTTAAACATCCTAATAAACCAATTAATTGTATCAGTACAAATCTCCAATCATATTTTTCATTCTTAAAATAAGTACATAAAAGTGGAGCACATTGTTTATAATATTTCTTATAAGAAATATCAATCACCCATTCTTCAATCATTAAATTATCAATAATTGTTTGCATTGTTGAATTTAACTCATAACGGCTTTGCTCGAATTGTGACATTGCTGTAAAAGGTTCATTCGTAGATAATGATGAAAGAAGACTATTTAAACATGTTTGATTGTAAAAACATTCTAATGTTGAGAGAAGAATTGTATTTACTGGTAAACAGCCATGCACCATTCCAGGAATTTTCATTAATATTTTATCATAAGGCGGCATATACTCAATACTAGGTCTGAATTCATTAAATATCATTGATGGCATATTACAATCAATATGGATTCGACAAGAACAGAATGAGGAATACTCTGGATCCATTAGAATTTGATTGTGTACCGTAATTTGAACTACATTGATATATGGAGTTGCATAATATTGCATATAATTTGTTTGAAGAGCAGATAGAAAACGATTTCCGGCTATCATTTTTCGTATTAATTCTAATTGTGTCGAGAATCCAATAGGTGATGATAATTGAAATTGATGAATAGTGGCATTTGCTTGGGATTGAAATACAGATTCTTTTAAAACTTCTTGACTTATAAATAAATCTTTATTAAATGAATCAATACTTTGAATAGCATAATCTTTTGAAAGTCGACAAAAACTCTCAAGTGATTGAAATATTGCACTCCCTTCTGTTCGAAAGTCAAAAGCGGAAAAATACGTTGTATTTGAACCAAAATTAATTGTTTTAATCCATCGATCAGATATAAAATCACTTGAACATATCTGATGAAATTGAGTTTGAATTGAAATAAATTCACCATAGGTTAATGATATACGAGAACATGGACAATGAGCATCAGATGGTAAATTTATGAATTGATCTTCACTTGGATTTTCAACTGTTATAAGTGTATTTCGACTTCTTGATTTCATAATAATAGCGAGTCCAAATAGAACGATGATTAAAACAATGAAAAAGATTCGAGTTGAAATAATATTTGATCGACGTTGATGTTCTTTTTCTTCATCTGTTACTGTTGAATCAGTCGATGATTCAAATATATTTAAATTGACAAAATAATTTTTCAACGATAACATTTTATAACACACAAAATAATTATTAATTTCTACAAAAAAAGAATACTTAATCTTCGACAAAAAAATAGCAGAGTAACGTTCAAATGACAAAAAGATAAATAATTAAAATAATTATTTCTTCGAACAGTAACAACTAATAGAAATAAAGGATTAAAAATCAAGTGTTTTGGTCTTAATCGCATGAAAATAAATAAAATTTATCTGAGCTTAAACGAAAAGTTTATTTCAAAAAGAAAGAATAAAAATTATTTTCAATAAAATCTAAAAGAATGAAAAGTTTCTGTAACTTTTATAAATATTCACTATTTAACAAAAGTTTTAAAAAAATCTTTCTCATTTAAATATTTTCTTTCATGTTTAAAGGAAAAGTTTTCATTCTGTTCAGATGCAAATAGTTTTTTTTACATTTGACAGCACTCTAGAAAATTTCTTGCATCCATCATTGCATTATGAATTGAAATAAAAGAAAAAACAAAAGAAGAATAAGAGAATTTTTTAATTAAACTAAAACAAAAATTTATTCAGATGTATAAAAATACTGATCAAGAAACTCTTTTAAGTAATAATTTGTGATTTTTCTAAATATCAGAGACGAACTTGAATATGAGTATTGATATGTTAATTTCAGTTAATATTTCCTTGTATTATCAAAGTGTAATAGAATTGAGTAACAAGAAAAAGAATATTTCTTTTATGCACATTGAACTTCGTACAAATTTCGTGTCATTTTAATATCACACAATTTCGAGATATTTATTTTTCACTCAAGAACTGACGAAAATTATTAATACTGCAATCTTTTTTTATCTCGATACAACTATTTTAATATTTTAATCATATGCTTATATCTAATGAAATAAAGAACAATCGTTATATTTTATATGCACTCGGAATCTTATTGAGTACTGGACATATAATTAATCGTTCTCTGTACGAATTATATAAAGCTTTGGAATATTAATATAAATCCATCATTTATTTTATGAAGAGTTTTTTTTTGAAATATTCTTTTATGCTTGAGCGTTATTAATGTATGATGTTTGAATAAAGAATGAAAAAAGAAATTTGCATATAGTTCATTTGACTAATTAAAAAGTAGCATTTCTACAATTAGTTATATAAAGATTGTTTTTAAAATAATGTAAATAAGAGTTTATTCACAACAATTCAATGAATAGAACTTTAAACGAATATATTTATTCTTCAATTCCAATACATTTCATGATAATATTTGATAAAAATAAATATTTTTATTTACTCGATTTCTGTTCAAAAGAAAAAGGAAGTGAAACATTGAACTTTATTAGATAAATGTGTAGGTGCCTAATTCGAGTTATAATATAAATGGAGATTTCAAAAACATGTCAGGGTCGATCAAGGCACAAAAAAAACTTTTTTTTGAATATCAATTATAGTCCGGACACAACTTTTGTATAAATGCAAGACAAACACACCAAAAGTAATTATAAATTATAAATTATAAATGAGACAGGACAGTACTATAACTACAGCAGAACAGTAGAAAAAAAAATTTTATAAATTATAAATGACACAGGACAGTCCTATAACAACGGCAGAAAAGCAGAAAAAAATTAGAATTTATAATTGAGATAGGACTCGTGGGAAGCTCCGTCGAAAATTTTTTTCAGTGAATAAAATGATTGATATTGATTCTCTTTTCTTTTTCCTATTTTTCAGAATATTTGTTGATTCTGATGATATCTTGTAAGACTGATTTGATTCTGGTGAAGTTTGATTCCCTCGACTAAAGGAAGAGTCATATGAAAAAAAATAGTTTGTCCGTTTGCTTGTCGTTAGGTCAAAAGAATATCAAGATCAAAAAACACCCACGGTGAATTTTTGATAAAAGTTCACGAAAGTAAATCGGGGTCGGAGAATCCGAATCAGAAATCAGTTTTTCAAAATTTTGAATTCAGTTTTTAGAGTCAAGGGAAGGGTTTTTTGAAACAATAACGATATTTTATAAAGATTGACGAAAGCAAATCGAGGTCGAAGAAACCGAATCTGAAGTCAGCTTTTCAAAGACTCAAACAGTTATTTCTATGAAAAAATCATACTTTTCTCTGTGAATTATTGTCTAAGGAAAAAGCTAATTCTTTTGAGATAAAGGGAAACTTGAAGTATGGCTGTGGGTGTAAGCGACACTAAAGAGAACACCCACACCCAAGCCCATACCCCACATTGTTCTATATGTCAGTATAAACCGATTTTGTCTCGTCCCAACACTTATGAAACACCCTGTATGGATATTTACATAATGAAACTTTACTAGAAAGAAACTTTAGAAATTGACCATAACTTCGTCGTATATCGTCTTCCCTAGGGAAAAATAGTTCCCGCCCCTGACATCGTTTACATTCGGAAAACGCACTATAAACGAATCCGTTTTAATCGACCTGGGCATAAAATAATAAAATGATCATATGAAAGAACAAATTGTACAAATGCAAACGAAACTTAATTCAACAGAAATCGACAACATTGAAATGAATAAAAAGCTGAACCATGAAATGAGATCTTAAAATTCAACTGGATAAGTTGACGTAAGTGGATGTTTTATTATTTAAATTTATTATTTTAAATATATTCTTAGAAAACAAGCAAATGAAGTGGTAATTAAGGATGTCAAAGCACATCTTTTATCGTTAGTCATGATTGAGATAAAAGTTGAGTACAACTGCAGAAGAACGACACTCTTTACACTAAATAATCTAATTGATAGGGCATATCAAAGAGTTTCGATGCCGCAGTATCGTTCTTATGCAATTGTACCCTCGATTGATGCATTAAATATAATTCGTCTCTGAAAAGTGCGCTAAATTCGAACTAACTTTGCGACCAACCAAATTTCTTAGTTCAGCATTAACTTTTCTAGTGTAGACAACGCCTGAACGAATTTAGCTGGTGTGGCTGGTATTGGCGGCGTCAGCGCACTCTCATTTAGAGGAGAATGCAATTTCGACTAAAATCTAACAATTTTGTGACAATTAACAAATATTCATGCGCGGTGTAAAACAAAAAAATTTGCAAGAGAACCGTGGTTAACCGAGCTGGTTTTTGAGCAACTTGAACGATATAGAATATAATCCGTCCACATTAAATACACTGAAATATTTAGAAAGAGAACCAAATAATGAAGAATTAGCAATAATATGCAATTGTATTCAAAATTTTTCCAATCAATGTGAATTAGCCATGAGTCAAGTGGTTGAGCTGCTATTACACAAGACAGATATAGATTTCAAATCACACGGACTGGTTGAATGTTTTATAAATGATGTCTTGAACAGTGAATATTACGAAAATGATCTGATCCACTATATAGAAGAACAAGCTATTCAAGTTATTCTCAACGATCAAGAAAAAGAAGTTCTAACGAAATTAGTACATGTCAATATTTAATATCATCGAAATCAAATTTCAACTTCAGATGTACAAAAAAATACTCGTGCTTTTAAATTCTTCTTTTTAAAAAATCAACTTTTGACATAATTTTAATACTCTTCCACAAATATATTTATTATAGTAACGTTTCATCTTTCGAAGAAGACTTTTTCAAGTTTATATAACAATAAAAATAAAAATGTACAAATAAACTAATTATAGAAAAAAAACAGAAAAAGAGAAGATGGCAAGATGAAAGTAGAATAGGCTGTATATTTCTTTTAGTTTTATTTTGACAGTGATACGGAAAGAATCAAACCTGCCTAGCCATTACTATTACTGTTATGTTTTCCGTATCATTATCAAAATACAGTAAAATCTCTCTATATTGATACCTCTATAACAAGAACACTTCGCTTATATTGGCACTCGGCGGAACGACCAATCAATCTTTGCTAGAAGTGAACCTCTCTGACAAGGGCATCTTCCACCTTTAAGAGTGGGCACTGTTTTTTAGGCCATACTGTATTGGTAAACCTCTCTTACATGGGCAGATATAGTGAATATTTTAATCAGTACACTGTTCTTTTCGTTCTCGTCGCTCTTTGTTGTTCTGAGAACAGAAAAGAGAAAAGTTAGATCGACATAACAAAGAAAATAACTCATCTATAATTTCTAATTGTACTGTCAATGATAAAAAGAGTATAAATAGTCATGTCATTTGACATTACTCTTTAAAATCATTGAGAAATAACGTCCTGTCATTATCTTACGCTTGACGAGAAGATCACATTAATCAACGACTATGCTGATGGAGTTGGACTATCACAGTGCAAATTGTGTGAGAAATACAAGTATCCAAGAGTGCTGTGTACAACATTCTTCAACGAAAAGACGAATACATATATGATTTCCAAACGAATGCAAACAAAGGTGTTAAATGCGAACTGCAAGACAAGTTAGATCATAAGATCGATGATACTGACTGATGCTTATATTGGATCAAAAACTAACAAGCAATATTCAATTATGGATTTTTTTTGCAAAGCTTGATTGTAAATACGAAAATAGAAAATAAACTTAGATCAAGAAGAGACATCAGCTGATTAGAGTAAAATATTGGACATAGTCAAAGGTCTAAAGACTGATTAATAATACGTAATTATAGGTGCTCTTGATGACGTAGCTTGCGGAAAGCATATTTGTGATCGGTATCTGTAAAAAAGTCTATAATGCAGGCACCTCCGTCAGATGGGCGATTTGAAAGAGTCCCATAGGTGCCCATCTAAGGGAGATTGTACTGTAAAGCTAAAAAAAATATACACCCCATTCTACTTTCATCTTGTCATCTTTTCTTTTTCTATAATTAGTTTATTTGTACATTTTTATTTTCATTGTTATATAAATTTGAAAAAGTCTTCTTCGAAAGATGAAACGTCACTATAATAAATATATTTGTGGAAGAATATTAAGATTATGTCAAAATTATCAACAACCTTCCTGTCAAGACAAGAATTAGAAAATCAATTATTAACGAATATTTTATTGATCCACAAGCATCCGATTATAATATTAATGGTCCACTTCGATGGCCGATTGTTGAAATATATCTAGTTTGTTTTTTGATATTATTGGAAATAAAATTCAATTTTTTTCTAGGAAATGGGTACAATCGTCGTAGAGAAAATTGAATCTGGACATTGACGTGTTGATGATTAATGTAAAACTATGCCAAATCAAAAACATGCTGAAGTTACAAATATTTATTATGGAGACATTGAAACTGATTCGTGTCTTGTGGAGAACATGTTAGATTCAAATTAAAAAATTTTAAACAACATGTAAGTCTCTTTTCTCTATTAAGTACTTTTTCTTCTGATCGACAATATTTTCAGGAAATCTCACTTGAATCTATTCTATGTGATGCTCAACATGAACCATGTCTAGTTGGACGAGTTTTGGATGCACATGTCAAATACTTAATTTAAAAATATATATGTATAGGTTAAAAATAGATTGCTATACTTGAACATAGATCAACTATGTGCCCAGATTAATCAGCTATTCTTCATATTCATACAATTATTGCTGAAGTTCAATTAAAGAAGTTATTAACATTAATTGATCATAAAACTGGTCAAATAATTGAAGAACATTCAAAACTTATAAAACAAGATCAAGTAGCAATAGCAAGGTTTGAACTATCACAAGTCGGACAAACTATTTGTATGGAACCATTTGACCGTGCGCTTCAACTTGATCAATTTACATCACATGGTGTACTCGTTCTAATAATAGATGACATTTAACGAAGTTTTCCAACGATGTCAACAATATTATCATAATCTTTAGAAAGTAATGAGATGATATATTTAGACGACATAAAACAAACCAAGATAATGGGTTGACTATGGAATAATCTCAGACTTAGTGTAAAAGCTTATCATTGACAATTATTTTTTTTCTTCATGCATAAAAGACACTCAGATATAGGATAAATCTTATAGATTATTAACTTCTCATACAAAAAAGAAGAATCATAAATTTTATACTTCAAAAAAAAAGTTTGAAAAGTTTAAATAGATTTATTAGAATATTTTCATATATAATAAAAGACGAATTGATTAAAAAAACAAACTTGATCTATTCTTTCAATTAAATCTGTTATTCTAAACAAAAAGAAAAAGATGATTGGTTATGATGAAATTGTTTTCAAGTATATGAAATAAGTTTATAACTTATCAGTCATAAGATATAATTCTCATTTGTTATTAAAGAGCTTTTTTTAAAAATTCTTTGAAATTCAGCTTTATTCGCAATTTCAATACAATATTAAAACCGATTTTTTGACGAAAACTATTTTCTTTAAAATTCTTCTACCTTAATCCAAAAAGATTCTTGTTATCCGACTTTTTATAGAAGATTATTTGAACAAGTCAATAGAATTCAACTTCAAATAGGTTTAAAGAAAATAAAAATCGTACATTCTTCATATGATTGAGAATGTAGCAGTGGGGGGGGGGGGGGGGGGGGAGGAGTCGAGGAGATGCGGCACAAGGGAAGTACATCCCCCTACTCTCATAATGTTTTAATGTTTTTTCAGCAAGAATTATTCTTTTTCTTAAAAAAAAAGACTGAATATACATCCTTCCAGGTCTAAGAAGATACGTCTTAAGCTCGCCTCGTTTATGTTTCTTGGTCACATTCCTATAGATGATAAATTCTTTAATTAAGGATCTGAAAAATATGGAGAAACAATTTTTCTACGACTAACCGATCTTTATGATATGATCAAATAGATAACTACTGGTTATTTTTGTTTGTTTTTATTGAAAAAAAAAAGCTTGTTCACTCTATAAAAGTAATCAATTGAAATGTTTGTTTTGATTTAAAGAGTTTATTTACGTTGAAGATTTATTTATGTGAAGCGATCGGCGGCAATCGAAAATCGAATATGTTTAAAATTTAAAAAGTGTTCGAATGTCCAATATCTAGTACATAGATTTGATTGATATAGATACAATCAATCAATCAGAAATAACACAATGTGCAATGACCAATCGATAAATTCCCATTGGAATATTTTAATTGTTTGCTTAATTGTCATTTTATTCAACTATCAATTTATGTCACTTCATTTTTTTCTCTTAAATATTAGACAAAAATCGAATTGAAAACATTTTCTTTTATTTCTATTTGACAAGATTTTCAAAAGAATTCTTTCTAATTTTTTTTTCAGCCAAAAAAAAAATAAGACAATGAACATGTTTAACATTCTCTTTTGTGTCGTCGTTCAATATTTTTCTTTTTGAAAAGAGTAAACTAATTCTTTAATCAATCATTATAATAATGGTCCAATATTTTTTTTATGGATGAATTAAATCATTTAAAAGTTTTTGTTTTGTTTTTTATTTTATTTTTCATTTCACATTGTCATATTTCTACTTAAATTCTCGATGAGAAAAAGAATTAAATGATATTTATTCTTTTTTTTTTTTCACATTTAATATTCATCATAATATTTTCTTATATTTAATATAAAGGAAGTATTTCATTATCCAATGAGTATGTCTCGTTTTCTCTTTTTCATTTTTCTCATTTTATTTTATTAGGGAAATAACTGTAATTGGTTGATCAAATTACGAACATCGAGACAAAAAAAACACAAGATTAGGGTCACAACGACCAAAGTCGAGTTGACATATTGTCTCTTTGTCTATTGCCTTTTTTTTCAATAAGAGTGGAAGAAAAAAGGAGAACGAAGAACCGTTAGTGTGATTCGAGCGGCGTCATTCATTGCATAATATGCTAATAGAAGTCATCGTCGTCGTTCATCGTTCACAAGTCATTTCCATAATTTAAAAATCAAACGACACATCGTCACATATCCAAACAACAGACAGACAATGATCATCATTAGATTTTCTTTTTTTGCTTTTTTTGTAAGTTTTTTTCTTTCATAATCAATTTATTGATAAATTTAAATGAATTCTTGTTTTTAATTTTAATTTAATAGTATTATTTATCAATAATCATCATGGCTAATTGTTCTCCTGTATCATCAATATCATTAAAACATTTAAGAACATATAAAACACTAAAATTTCAATCAACATTAAGTTCACCAATCGAAAATAATGTTAACGAGGGTGCAGCATTTCGTTTAACCTGTTCATTTATATCAAATTTTGATACAATTGATATATTTTGGTTTCATAACGAAACTTTAATTGGATCATTTATTTCAAAAGTATTTTGTCGTTTTTTTTTTGGAAAAAATTTTTTATAATACTATTTTTGTTTCAATTAGAAAATCTCGGAAGAAGAAAATGATAATGTTGAAGATTCGTTTTTGGGTGTTTCAGTTGTATCAACGATAAATATAGAAAAAATTTCATTTGATATGAATGGTTCATATCAATGTATTGGAGTATATCAACATATTCATGTTCAACAAACATTTTATGTTCATGTTAATACTACCCGTAAATTTTTATCAAAAATTAATAAATCATATTTTTATTTTTATTAAATAGAGAAAAATTCTTCAATGAAAAATTCTTCTATAGATTCATTTATAACTGGTAAGTTGAATTTATTTTGAAATCTAATATATATATATATATATTAATAAATTCTAGTTCATACATCTCAAGCTTTATTTGAACCCCGTAGTTATGTATTATTAATGTGTCGTTTTGCTTCTAATCGGAAAGATCAGTGTAAAACAGAATGGTTTGATCCATATGATAAACCATTAGATACATTAGCTCAAACCACAGATTTAATTCTTCGAAATGCTACTTTTGATGATTCAATGGGTTTATATACTTGTCAAATTTGTTGTTTAAATCAATGTCAAAAATTAACATCTTTTGTTTATCCGGTAAAAATTTTAATTAACATTTTATTTTTATTATTTGTTTTTAAATTATTTATTTATTTTTTAGGCTGAAAAAGAAAGATAGGTAAATATATATTATAAAAAAAAACAGAACATTTCTCTATTTAAAAGAATTGCTTTAATGTTAATATTTGTCTGTATATTTGTTTTCACTATTGTATTATTATCTATCCTTTCTTATAGAAGAAATAAAAAAGAACAGCTTTAGAAAACAACAATTAATCAAGAATAACAAAGAAAATTTTTTTATCAATAAAAATAAACAATAAGTGATTCGTCATTGTGACTTTACAAATGCAAATAAGAATATTAATCTATAGTTCAGTGGCGGAGTCAAGATTTTGGGCTAGGGAAATTGAGCCCCTTCTTCTGAATAATAAAATACATACTTCAAAAATTTCCCTAAGAAGCTCAAAGGTCCAAAGGTAGATGTTAAGTCGCCCTTGGTGCACAAAATCAATGTTTCAAAAATTTCACTAGGGAGTTCGAAGGTTTCTAGGGGAAGGTGAGCCTCCCATAGCGCCTCCTTAGTTCGTCACTGCTCTAGTTGATTCTTATTAAGTAATAAATATGCAATTATTGTAAATCTATATGTCCAATTATATTTTTATTTAGATAAAAATAATTGTATTGAACTATAATAGACATTAAGAAATCATGACTAAAATATTTTGAATTATTAATTAATATTTATATTAAATTTTCTTTTTATGTCAATAGATTCATTAACGAAAGAGAATATTTGTTTAAATATACAACTAAATCGAATTCGAGTCTTTTTTAAAAGATTTTTGTCAGAAAAAGAAACCATTTTATGAAAGATAATATGATCATCAAATTTAGCTAAGTTTAAATCGATTTGTATTAGATATATTCGTTTTTCAAAATAATTAATCAATTTAATCGATATTTATTTGTCTATATTAAATTTTCATATTGAAATCTATTTATGATAAATTCATTATTTTTTATTTAAAAACAATTTTGGTATTTTTTTTTTGTTATATATGAGATAGTACAGAGCTACGTCAATGATCATGTGTTTTTCCCACATTGACTTAACTATCTCAGGTCACCTTGTTCCATTTTGTCCTACAAGAACCAATGAAGAAAATCTCACTAGATATTTCTTCAGGGAACGAACTTATCGTTCGATCAAAATAACAGCCAATAATAAAAAAAAAGAGCCGTTTTAAATAAATAATTTATGAACAAGTTGCAGATGACAAATATTTAAGATTTTTTTTCCACGTTTTGTCAGGTTTATTGTTACATTTGAAAAGAATATTTTAAGAATTGAATAATTATGATTAACATTAAAAATGAATTCATTTTAATCGAAAAAAATAAATAAAATCAAATGTTCTTTAAATAATCTAGTATTAAATTATTTTCTATTTGTTCTTATTCTTGTTTTTGATTAATGTCAGATGAGTTCCTCCGACAAATAAAATAAAATTGCAAATAATCAATTGAAATAAAGCAAAGTGTAGAAAATCTAGTAAAACTGTTATATCTTAAAATCAATCTCAAAACTTCTATTCAATTTAGCAATAATTTTTTTTTGTTCTTTTTATTATTCTTAGCAGAACAATAGATTTTTCATGAACGAACAAAAATGAAGAGACAATATTTTTGTATGTTCAAATGCTACAATTGTCACTAGAAAATCATCTCAATTGAACATAATTCAATCAAGACGAACAATAATGGAAAATAATCTTCTCATTTGATTATATTTAAACATTGATAAATCGAAGAAGAATTCTCAAAAGCACCTGGTACAATTACGTAACTGAGTCAATTATACAAATCTATTCATTAACATAGATCAATGCATCTATTTTCTCACTGATATAGTTCATTAACAAGTATTTATGATTGTCTTTAACGAGGTAACGTTTTAAATTAATCAATCGATCTTGAATTCAAACTCTGTGCATAAAGTAGACTCCAGTGAGATATGAAAAAGACTTCAAAAAGATAAGTCTCCTTGAGCCGTCTATCCAGAGTTATATACATTTTACTGGAATTTTAGTCTCTAACATAATATATACCAACAAATCGGATAACGGTATTTCAGCCTAAAATTTTGCATATGAACAGGTCTATTTGCCAGTCGAATGCTCTGAAAATTTCAGTTCAAAAGAATGTTTTCTTTGCGAGATATCGAAGTTCCAAAGATCACTCATATTTCACAAAAGATGCTAGAATTTTCTGTTTTTTTGGGACTTCAATATCTCGGGAGGGAAACATTCTTTTGCGCTGAAATTTTCAGAGTATTCTACTGACAGATAGACCTATCTATATGCAAGATTTTAGGGTGAAATATCCTTATTTGATTTGTTAGTATATATCATGACAGAGGCTAAAATTCTAGTAAAATGCCTATAACTCTGGACAAAAGGTCCAAGAGGACTTATCTTTTTGAAGTTTTTTTCATATCTCACTGGAGTCTACTTTATGTACAAAGTCCAAGTTCAAAAACGATTGCTCGTTTGAGAATGTTCCCTCATAAGACACTAGATTAACAACTATAGTTCACCAAATTCATGCAATTTCATTACTGCATTTTATTTATATTTATTTTATCAATCAACTAAAGTATGAACAATCGTTCAAAGTGACAAGTGTATACGGACGCGCACACCCTGTTTCCTCCACGAACGACGGCAACGACAATATCATCTAGTCATCCCTTTCGACTTTCACTTTGTAAAACTCTGCCACACAACCTTCTTTCGTTCGACGTCAGTCAACTGATATATCTAATCAGCAACTATTAGAAAAAAAATTGTAAGTTTCAAGTCAGCGTCAAAATCTTTCAAACATCGCTGAATTACTTAATAAACTCATGCAAGAAATTATTCCACTTATTTCAAAAGTAATCTGCAATGTTGATGGAAACCCCAGAGAATCGTTGGATAAAATAATCTTGATCGTACGAAGTCAAGTTGAATTATTGCAGAGAGAAGTTGGCATGGAAGATAAACAATCGCATGAAAATAATGTACTGGCAGAAAAAAACTACGACAGGTAGCTCTCTTAACCTTCATCTTTTACAACGTACAGGGATGGAACTCGAGAAGATTAGAAATTCTTGAACCTATTAACAAGATGCGTCATTTATCATATGTACAAAAGTAGGAGAACAATGATACACTTAACGAATATCAGGTTTTAATATATTTCATAAATCGGATAGAAATGAAACTTGGAGAGTAGCAATAAGTGTAGGAAAACATCTAAAAACATTAGAAGTAGAGGCTAGCATGACTAATGCATAAGTGCTCGACATAATCCATCTCAATGAATCTCTATGAATAACAGGAATACGTTGATCAGACAGGTATAAATGTGGCATCAATAAGATCCTTCTTTTTATCAATAGTAATACGATAATTTCAAGTTACTTTAACGCAACAACCGTGCAATGGAACAGTTCTAAAACAGATACACGGGGGAAATAGTCAAGAAGTGGAACAATGTTAATAGTCTACAGTATATACAACGTGCCAAGAACTTATCGAAAATCATCTTCTCGTAACGTAGATTTTACTTTCTCCTAATTTCTAGGCATTATAGGAGAAATTGTTGACTTTGGTTCAAGTGATCGCTGGCCGTTAATCTACAAATCGGAATTTGTTGGTTTCGAAATAGTATATAAATTCATGATCAGAAGATGGAAAGTATATGAATTACTTGTTCTGCCTACTCCAAGAATATTGGTTAAAACAAATAGAATTCAAGCCATTATTAGAATAGTATAGAGACAATATCAAAATTCTTTCTACTCTCAAAGACTGTCTCATGACTTGACATAGTAAAGAAAAATTGAAATCTGCACTTCCACTAGAGATACTGTTAAAACTGGAAGAGATCAGGCAAATTGAGAACCAGTACTACCGAAACGAATAGGGGGAAGATAGAATTTGTCTTCACTACAAGTCGAGAGATATCAGAAAAGAAACATTAGAATATAAATAAAGTCGATGGAGTCATTCCTCATCAATCTAAGAGTGTCAAGATAAGTGAAACACTATTTTTTGGAAGTATCTTTCACGCATTTCCAGACTTAAGTCCATACTTTTCAATAGATTAGCAGTCAGAAATACACACTCTTCAATCATTACAGAGTACAACCAGATTTTAACGAAATTATCCTTGCATGATAAGAATATAAGATCCACTAACATTTTAGGAGAGACAAACGTCCAGTTCACGAACTGAAGTTCAAAACATCAGCAGAAGAAGATAATATTTCGAACTAAATAATTAAAAAATGACCTTCACCTCCCTTAGAATGCATAATCAAATGTTTCAATAAATGGTTAGAAAACAGTCAAGGTATTGAATAGTGGAAAAAAGCTAAAATTATTACCTTTAGTAAGCTGACAACTGAAGTGCTTACCTGTGAACAGTCTACACCCATTTCTCTCCTAGCAATTCATTTTAAAATCTAAGAAAAAATCCTATTCCTTAGAGCCAAAGAGTAGCCAGATTTTAATAACATCATTCCTCCTGAACAGTCGGACCTTCATTAAGACTGCTTACTAAGAACAAGAGTTTTGTCTATTTATCAAGAGCTAAAAATTAGTCTAGCTGGGAATATATCCACATTAGGAATATATGTGGATTACAACAAAACATATGATCTAGTGTCGTATATGAAACTAATTGTCAAGCTCTTCAGAATGCACATACTTCGAGAATTATATAAAGTACTAGTTAACTGACTGATAAATAGGAAATCACTTATCGTGTTTGGAAACAGACACTCAAGAGTTTCTAGAACGCATGTCGGACTTCGGCAAGGTAGTTTCTGAACTCCCTACATCTTCATAATTTATCATAAAGATATAATAAAATGTGTTCATGTCTCACCAACTTATCTCTTCGCCGACGACTTCAGTGCTGTAATAATTTCTCCAATTCACAAAAACTACCGTGAAATGATTGATTTCGTTAATATAACAGACTCTACATTGTCTCAAAAATTGTCGTTCAAATTTTACATTCACAAGTGAAGCTAGCTGAAATAAAAATAAAAATCGATAGAGTAGTGATAGGCATGGTATGATCTATCAAATATATAAAGTGGACCGCAAAAGTTCAAGACATTTTTTATTTCGATGTCTTCTATGAAAAGAAAGGAGTTAACAAAAATCAATATGTTGAGTGCCATATAAAGTTAGAGTCAAGATCTACACAGATCACCTATTCCTGAGATAATTGATTGTAACATGAAGAAAAACAAGAACTCTCAATTTTTCTCTAGTAGACAAAGGTTTAAGACACTTTTGTGTTTTGTCGATTATGTTGTTACCGAAGAGCAGAGACAATTTTCACAAATATATTATTAGATGCAGAATTGAATAAGCTATATTATAGTATAATAAATTTTGAGAAATTATTAGTTATAATAATTTAATATTGTTAATTAATATTTTTCTATTAGTTACTAACTATAGAGGAATATTTTTGTTATAGATTTTGATCTTCAAGTATACTGTTAGAAAGAGCGTCAAAAATCGAATAACACTATGGATTTTTGTTTCGTAATAATTCTTTCTAACAGTTTACTTGAAGATCAAAATTTATAAGCGAATATGTCTCTAGTTAATAATTAATAAAATTTTTCGAATTAATAATATTAAATTATTATACTATAATGTAGCTCGTTCAATTCTGTATCTAATAATATATTTTGAAAATTGTTTCTGCTTTATGGTAATGATACAATTAATAAAATACTAGAACTGTCTTAAACTTTTGCTTGCTAGAGAAAAAATTGCAGTTCTTTCTTTTTCTTCATGCTACAATCAATTAAATCAAGAATAAATAGTTTGTGTAGATTTTCACTCTAACTTTAGATGTCATTCAAAATATGTCTTTTACTTTTTTGTCTTTTCATACAAAAACATTGAAATAAAAATTGTCTTAAACGTTTGCAGCTCAGTTAATCTCCTGTATGAATTAAAATGACTATATTTTCAGCAAAAATAAACAACTTGAAACAAAAGAAGTTACTGTTTTCTAGACAATTCTGTATACTCTATAATCTGGACCGATCAAAAATATCTTCAGCGAAAACTTCGTTACTCTGGAAAACTGGTTTTCTATAAAAACAGTAAATGAAAACGTAAAGATGATTTCTCATGATCACATTCAAAGTCAGCATCGTTGATAGCCTACAATACAAAATGTTTCGATAAGAAAGCAATTGTTCAGTTGAAAACGTTCCTTCATTAGAATAAAGATTATCGTTTTGTGAGTATTGGTTTTTTTTCTGATATTTTCTTTGATATTATTTATGATTGTCTTCATGTATAGTTTGGCAATAAATCAGATAGCAAATAAATTAATTTTTTTTATTTTTCGTAATTGAGAAACAATTGTTGGTGTATGAAATCAATAAATGATATTTTATTTTTCTGCTAGAATGTCTTTATTTATTCCTGTTTGATTACAAATGAGTGTTTCATGTAGCAGATAAAAGGTGAAACCAAAGACAAATACGCATGTGTTCTTTTCAAAGACAAAACACATTGAAAAATACACGCAAACAAATCGTGCAAAAAAGAGGGTAAAGGAAAAGAAAAACGAATAGTCACTGCATTTGGTTTATTCACGAAGTTTTCCGATGTTTGATAAATGTGACAATAGCAAGAGTACCCAAGACAGCACTACCTAAAGCTATATATGGCCACCAACTGTTATTTGTATTATCAATCTTAAATAAAAAAAAAAACTTAAATATAATTGAATTAAATATGAACTAGTTAAAAAACCTGATTGATATTATTTGTTTGACGTTTTTCTGTTTGTGGTTTAAACATACGTTGATAAATTTCTTTTTCATTTTTTTTAATATTAGCCAATTTATTTTCGCAAGTTAGAATCATTTCATTAGCTTTATCTCTATCAGCCATAGAATTCGAATTTCGTCTTTGAACTTGTGTAAATAATTTTAATGATTGAATAGCTTTATCATGTTTTTCTAATTGAAAAAAAGCTTTTCCTTGTCGAAATAAAGCTTTTACATTTTTAGGATCATGTTTAAGAACATTTTCAACAGCATGTAAACAAGCATCATATCTATTTAAAAGTAAATTAACTTGAGCAACATTATTTTCAACTTGAATAAAAGCATCATTTAATATTGATCGTTGATTTTCATGAGATAAAACTAATATTGGATTAATATCTGTATCTAAAAAACGAAGAGCACCATTATAACATTGAAGAGATGTTAAATAATCTTGACGACGATAATAAAAATTTCCCATTTGTCGTTTTTTATCTCCCCAACAAAGTCTTTCATTAATTAATAATTTTTGAACATCAACTGGACTTTGCCAATCATGTAATTCTAATTCAATTTTCATTCTATATGAATTATTTGAAGATACACTTGGAATTTCTTTTTCTAAACAACCCATATCACCATAACAATGTCGAATATCACTGTCAATTAATGCACATTCACCACGATTCATTGTTTGAACACATATATCAATTGCTGGTATTATATCACATTCACTTACAAAAAATTTTTCATTTGATACACTTTCAATCAAACGAATATTTGAAGTTAAATTATCAACTAATGATAATTTATATGAAACTGTTGCCATTGTACTACGTGTTGGACGACTATTTAATTCACCTTTAACTATTGTCTAAACGAATAAATAGATTTTTTCTTTAAGATTTTTTTTTTTCAAATTTTTTAAATTTTTACTTGTTTAAGTAAAGTTTTATTTCCAAGAACATCTTCAAATTCTGATGAAATTAATTTACTATTTGATAACAATGATTCATCTTCTTCTTGTTTATTTAAATCATTTGATTTTCTATCAAGTTTTTCTTCAATGTCTGTTGATCTTTCAGTTAAAACTGAAATAATATCTTCTACAATCTTATTTTTATTTTTAATGTCAATTTCTTCAGTTAATTCTTTTCCTAATTCAATTTTTTCACTAATTAAATCATCACGATTTTCTTCTAATGTTTCACTTACAACATCAGGTAATGAATATGATTTTAATGGAATATTTGTTTCTTCCTTTTTATAATCATCTTCATTTACTTTTTCAGATTCAGTTTCAGGATAACTAGCCATTGAATTTGATTCAGTCTCTATTGAAGATATGTTCGTTTGATCAACTGTTGATGCAACTAAATGAATACCATTTTCACTTGCTTTTTCAGATTCAATTGATGGACTATTATCAATTGAACTTGATTGGGATTCTATTGAAGTATTGTTTGTTTGATCGAGTGTTGATTCAGCTACTTTTTCAGATTCATTAAAAAGAAGATTATCAGTTGCATTTGGTTGTGATTCAATTGAAGAATTATTCGTTTGATCAAGCGGTAATTCAACTGAAGAGAATTCATCTGTGTGATGATCCTCATCTGGTGTTTCTACTTCTGTTCGAGGATGATTATCCATTATATTTGATTCGGATTCTATAGAAGAATTGTTTGTTTGATCAACTGTTGATTCTGATGGAAGAATATCAATTTTTTGATTATCTTCATCTGTTTTTTCAGATTCATTTAAAGAACTATTATCATTTAAATTTGATTGTGATTCAATTGAGGAATCGTTTGTTTCATCGAGTGTTGATTCAACTAAAGGACCATCATTTTCAACTGCTTTTTCAGATTCATTTAAAGGAAGATTATCAGTTGAATTTAATTGTGATTCATTTAAAGAATTGTTTGTTTCATCGAGCGATGATTCAGTGGGAACAGTAGGATTTTCATGATGATGCTCATATGGTGTTTCAAGTGGTGTTAAAACATGATTATCGACTATGGTTGATTGTAATATTGTAGAAGACTCATTATTCTGATGATTAATTTGTGTATCATTAGCTTCTATTTCAGCTGGAGGAATATCATCGTCATCAAGTTGACGTTGGGCCCTACATATAAATCAATAAAATAAAATAAAAAGAATATAATGTCTTTTATTAAAAAAACTAATGACGAAAATAAAACTGAGCTAAAGTTTTTCATTGATAATCGATAGAAGTAAAACAGAGTTTATAGTTTCATAAGAAAAAAAAGGAATTAAATTAAGAGGAGTTTTTAACATTTTTCCAGAAAAGAAAAAAGAAGTCGTCGATGCGAAAGTTTGTTCTTAATAGTTTAATAAAAGTAGCGAAATCATTAAATGAAAGTTTGCATATGACGAGAGAGAGGAACGAAAACATTTTATTTTCTCGATAGTCGACTGAAAGAGAAATCAATATTTTTTTGAAAGTTGTTCCTTTTGGAAGTTTCTAATAAGAATTCAAGGTTTTATATTGAATCCGTCATAGTCATACGTACAAATTAACAAATAGCTCTGCTCTCATCAAAGAAATATCCTTGATATTATTTTCACATATCTTTAGAAAACTGTGGATTATAGAAAAAAGTAGGCGAATCCTAAAACAAACGACGTTTATCAGATATGTACGAGTATGGGGAAGATCGAACAATGGTACATGTCAATTTATTGTGAAAGTTAATTGAAATGTTTAGTTTATTTTTGAGTGAATTACTTGAATAGATTCATTATTTTTAGTTTCAATGAAATAAAACCGAATGAGATTTGTTCAATGTAGAATTTCAAAGTAAATTGATTATTGATATTGAGAATTAAAACAATGATTAAAAAGTAAGAAGATTTTCTTCGGGGAACTTATTAAAATATTAATTAGAAATTCAATTTAACTTTTATCGATTGAAAACAAAAAAAGACGATAATCTGATTAAGTTTAGAACGATTTTAATTATATCTTTTCACTGAAAAAAACAAATAAATTTATTGATTTTGAAATGTCTTTTTAAATATATTTAAGAATAAATATTTTATTAAAATAATTCTTATTGAGATAATCCTATTGAAAAGTTCTTAAAGAGAAAAATATTCTATATGACGAACTTCGTTAGGATAAACTATCACTAGAGAACGCTGTGAGTCTAAACATTTCCCTTCCGAAATCCAACTCCGCGAAACTCTGAAAATATTCTTTGATTATCATATATAGATCCTTTTGTGGTACTTGTTAATGATAATATCTCTATGATGTTTTTTTTTCTTCTTAAAACTGATTTATAAATCTTTAAAGTAGCGAATTTTTGTTCATTAATTAAAATATGAAGAATAAACTTGTAACTACGTAAGAGCAAGCATACTCGACTGTTTTTACTGATGTGACCTAAAGGGAGATACTTCACGATCACTCTGACTACTAAGAGTATTTTTTCAAGAGTCTGATGCAGGACTTCAATTGTCATAACCTGGGGATATCTCCCATACGAACATATTATAAATAAAATTGAGTTAAAAAAAGAGATTTTTTTAACGATAAAGTAAAAAAACTAAAATAAATTATACTGACTTGTTTGGATCTGGTTCGTGCTGAATATTTGATAATAGTTGATCGATTGAAGCTAAATCCGCATGATGTTGATTATTCGAAGTATGAAATTGTTGAGAAGAGATTTGATTTTGATCCAATGAATCTTGTTCATTACTTATTTGGTTAAGATTATTCTCATTTGGAAACTGAATAGATTGATTATCCGATTGATTTATTGATTGTGTTTCTTCAATAGCTTCAGCTTCATTTAAAGAATTATCTAATGTTTGAATATTTGATAAATTTTCCTGATGATTTGATTGATTATTGAAATGATTTGTAGTATCGTCTGTTAAAACTGTTTCTTGGTGATTATGTTGAGAAGAAGACGAATCATCCAGTAAAGTATTATCTTCATTTGGTGAAGAAATAGATGTTCGTTTATTAATAGAAATATCGTTGTGAGTCTCGTCACTCATTTGACGAGTTTATTTAAAAGAATTATATCTAGAATTAACAAAAGAAAAGAACCTAATCAGATATTATCTTTTATGAATATTTTTTTAAAAAATATGATAGAATAATAAAGTGACGTTTTACTTCGATGATCGTTGTGAAGAAGAATTCGTTTTATGATGTTTATGATGAAATTCAGTTGAAACAAATTCTTTATTTTGATGATTTAATTTTCGTTTTGATGAAAAAGGTGTTGGTGGATCATAATCAGTTCCAATATCATTTGTTAAACGTCTTTCGTCATCAATTCGAATTAATTTAAAACCTAACATTGAAAATGTTTCATCAGAAAAATCTTCACTTGTTAAATTTGCACAAGAAATTATTTTTTTCAAAGCATTTTTAACTTGTTCATAACTAAAAACAAAAGATTTCTTTCGTTTTTTTTTTTGTTTTTATTTATATAGAAAGTAAAAATAAAACCGTTGTTGTATTTGATTTGTTTGTTGATCAATGACTAGTTGTCGTTCAGCTAATCTTGCATGTTCACCTCGAATTTGATGAAGACTTTCTTTAATTAAATGATATTGTTTAATTAATGTTGTTTGATGTGTTTGAAGATTTTTTAATTGATCTTCTAATTCATTATTTTCTTGTTCAACTGAATTACAAATTGATTTTAATGAACGTTCACTTTCTTCATATGTTCGAAGTGCTTTTTCAAGAACATTTTCTTTTTCAATTTTTGAAATTTAATCAATTAGATGAAAAAAAAACAAATGTTTAGAACAAAAACCTACCTACCGATGAATGAGGACAATCCATCACTTATCTTATAAAACAAAAAAAAAAGAATTCAATTTACTTCAGACGAAATTCTATCGGATCATTGTTGTTAAATTAAATAAAATATGGATCTTTTTATAACAACTAGTTATATTTATTTTCAAATCATATTTATTAATTTTTTCATTTATTTTTAGTTTTCATTAAATAATTAAATTTAGTTTCATTCATAGAAATAAAATGAGAAATCTTATTCAACTCCATCTATGTGTTTTATTCTGAATGGTTCATTGCAAAATACATACGACCAATCATTCGACCTTTTATGTCATCGTGAACTCATAAAGTATTGATTTATATATAATATATGTTCTGTTGTTTTTCTCTCTTAGACTTATTTTTTCTCTGTTAGAAACGACTAAAAAGAATTGATTTTTTTTTTAAGATAACATCTCTTTAATAGAAGACAGGATGATTTTTGGTACCTTTACCAAGACTGGAGCAAGATTGTTTACAGTAAATAATTCTTTTTTTTTTTTGTCTTTTATCTTTTAATAAAAATATTATTCTTTAGAGATATGAATTAACAAATTCAGTAATGAACAAAGAACGTATATCATTTAGTGCAGCTGTGCTAATGTCACTTGTTGGAGTTGGATTATCGGTGTTTAGCACTAACAAAATGTTACTTGCCTCTTCATCCACACGATCTATGTTAACCAAGTCTCAGTAAATTTATAGCGTTTATATATATGAGATTTGTCTCTGTTTTTTCTTTTATTGTATACTTCTATGCATGAAAAGATTATGTTTTCTAAATAACACACACAAGAGACAATAAAATAGATCAATAGTAATAATTCATTTTGCTGTTTTGTCTTCTATTTTTCTAGACTTGGTTTTTTGTGTTTTTTACATATTCAGTTAAAATATGAAAAGAAACATAAATATAGAAATGATCCATTCTATTGATGTATTTTAATAATAATCAAAAACCTACAATTACCTTTGATTTAAATAAAAAAAGAATAAATAAATACATAAATTTATTATTTGAATAAGAATATTTTTCTACTAAGACATAAAAATCATCAACAAAATAGAAACATTGTAATTTTTCATTAGAGATCAATCTAATCATTTCATTTGGAAAAAAAAATAAAGTAAGAAAATCAATCAATTCAAATATTGATGCCATGAAAAATCGAATTGATCAAAAGAGAAAATTTTCTATTCTATATTTGAATAGTAATACAAGTCTTTTATATATTTCGTTCAAAATATAATAGAGAATCTGACAAATTTTTATTGTTAAATATTTTGTTTTTTATCAATTAATAAAAAAAAAATTTTATTGATAAATACATAAAATATTTGGACAAGATTCAACCCATAAAAAGAAAACGTCGTACAGAACAAGCAAAACAAAAACATATTGCGCATTTCTTTTTCTCCTCGCCAATCATCAATGGTAGTAATCTCATGACTGTCTCGTATTTGCTACCATATTATTTATGTACAAACATGCCTTTGCTGAGTACGATTCCGGGTCAGACAACAGAAGTGCAGATTCCTTAAGTGTTTTGTTTTTGTCACAAAGTTCAGCAAACAATATTCTGATAAGAATCTATTGAAACATTGAATATTTTTTTTAATTAACATATATGTATAAATACATATGTTAACTTATTAGAGTTCATTATTAAATATGTTGATTCAATCAGACATGGCTAGACAAGGATAGTGTTGAGGGTATGATACCCACCCACAATCAAGAAAACTATTGGTTTTTTTCCAGTAGAGCCAAAAATTTTTCGTGTTCTCTCAAAAAAAAAATCTACGTATTGAAAAAAAATCATGAGACTCCCTACTCAATATTGATTCGCTCGGGTCAGCTTTGGATCTAATAAATATTCAATACAGAAAATAAGATTTATTTGGCATTTTAATCTTCAATTTAATATTCCTATTCACAATTAGAAGAGTTTTTATTATTTTATTGATAGTTTATTCCCTTGATCAACATTTCAAATGTTGATTTTTCATTTAAGAGAAAATTTTTTGTTGTTTTCATATATTTTTAAGACAACAAATTTTATTTTCTTAGTTAACTTTTTTTTTTTATAAAGATAGCTGTAGACTTTTCTATTAATAATATAGAAAAATTTTATTTTCACAAAAGAAAAATTCTATTCTAGTACTTAATAATAATAAAAATCAAGTTAAATAGAATGTCTTCATTCAATTGAATTAGATATTTTACAAAAGGATTTTTTTGATAATTATTTAATATTCTTTAAGAAATTTATAAGAATTCTTTATATTGTAATAAAAAACAATTATTAACATTAAATTCAAATTGAAATTTGATTATTCTTAAAACTCGAAGAAAATTATGTTAAAATTTCAAACGAAAATATTCTTGATTTAGAAAGAATTTTATCATCTATAAATATTTTTAAATGATTGTTAATCTCATTTATTTCTATGAAATCTTAGTAAACATGATATATTTTGTCAAATGTTTCGTTTCTCTTAAAATTTTCATCATACTCGTTTTTTAATTAAATTTTAAATTAAACTTTTCAATAAGGTGAATCAACAATATCACTATTTTATTGATCTATCCTATTCAAATTTATCAGATTTTCTACATAGAAATAATTAAATACATAGTTATTACTTATTGGATACTTTTTCTTTGTTTTTTTTTTATTTTCATATTATTGTATTTATCAATTATATATATATTCGCATTGGAACTATATTTTATTTTTTATTTATATTATAATTTTCGTTAATATCTATTCAATAAAATTATCTAACATTTAACCAATTAAATAATTAATCATTATTACGATAGTCGACCATCGAATTATTTAATCATATTAGATTTTTATTATTTAATATTCAAAGTTTTGTTTTCATCAATTTCAAATCGTTTTTTAATTATAAAGGTGAACGACACACTTCTTTATCAAATAATCGAATATCATAAATAAATGAATGAATTTGATACATATCACTTGGTTCTGTATAATGAAAACTAATTGTTGTTTCACTTATGGCTTCATAACCCTATTTTAAAATTGAATAAAATTTACAAAAGAAAAACAAAGAAGAAGAAAAAAAAAACTTACAAATAAATTATGATGAAAAGGTTTATAATGAATCCATTCTCTTTTAGTTTTATTTGAAGGTCCATTAAAATGAATACGAAAAGCAAGTGGATGAAATCTTTCTCTTCCATGTTGATCAATTGTTTCTCCAATTAATGTTAAATCTTTTTTTATATGAAAAGGTGCTAATTGAAGTGTTTTTTGTAAACATTTTCCAACCATCATATCTTCCATTGGTGAATTACATTGAGAATATATTGAATCATTTTTCATATAGGACGAAAATAAATCAAGTCCTTGACGTGTTAACACATATCCAGCACCTCCACTTACATAATAATCTTCACGAAATCGATAACCATATAATAATGGTTTTGGATATCGTCTATTATAAATGAAATATATTTTTAATTAAATTAAAGAAATATTTCTTATATAATACTTAATAGTACTAATCAAAAATCTAAGTAAATTTTCTACAATAATATAAGTATCATCATCTGCTTTAAGATACCAATCATAATTTGGATAATATTTATTAAAAAATAAAAGTGACAAACGAACTTTATCTGGTAAATGTAAATATGTTTCATCTGGCAATGTTGGAATATTTTCTATTGGTAATTTACATTTTTCAAAAGATTTTTTTTCATTTTCATTTTCACATTTAATAGAAGAATTTAATCGACTAACAAATACAAATCGACCACATCGACGTCCCCATGTTTCATATACTGCACGAGCACGACTTTCCAAATTTTCTTCGTTTGTTAATACAAAACAAAAAAGACGAGAACGATATTTATCGACTAAATAATTATTATAATTTTTCTTTTAAAATTTTTATCAACAAATTAAACTTACGCCAACAAGTTTCTCTTCTTTTTAATGTAATCAATATAACAATTAACAAAATTATTCCAAAGGCACTTATTAATAGTATAGATTGAACAGAAGTTGAATACCATAAATAATAACATCGCCGTCGAATATTCAACCTAAATAACATTATATTACTTTAAAGAAAAAGAAAAAGGAAAAAAAAATATTTGCGAAAGAAAAAGTGACGATACGCTTCAATGAACTCATGCGGTAAAATTAAATGACAATCTATACTTGTTCTCGTTTCATAATAAAATCATACAATTAATAACAAATTCGACTATTGCGTCTTATACTAACTGAAAATATATCGATGTTTTTTGCAATCCTAAACATAATCGTTCATAATAGCAAACTTTGATATAAGTGACTACTTGTAATTTACATATAGAAAAGAATAATTCGTGCTTTATTGATAAAGTCAATCATTTTTGTTATGCCTATGCTTCCTATTTATTTTAATATGTACCAAACCAAGTACGATACAGGACCGATGAGAGGAGAAGACAAAAGAACATTGAACCATCATCAGCATGGTAGTATGCAATGCAACGAAACATTGCTTATGTCAGGATATACTTAGGGTGATCCAAAAGTTCTGACCACGGGAATGGGGCGTGGTCCTTCCTATTTCCATGG